ATTACGAGACCGCACAATGCAAACGACAGAGAAAGCAATTTTTGATGAAATTTGTATGGATAATACTGTCTCAGATTTGAGTGCCAAGGACAAATTTCATACACAGTGCTTCTATCCTATCATAGATAAACTTATTGTTGAGATGGATTGATGATGAGCAGCAAATGTCATTGAATGAAAAGCTGAAGTCGGCTCCACAGCAGTGTTTCTCAAAGAGGTCTCTCACGGGAAGCCACAGGAAGTGGTGGCCTGGCCCACCCTCAGCTACAAATGGCAAACCGAAGCAGCCTATGGCCATGGTGCTGGTAAAAACTGGAGTGGCCGGTTCGCAGGTTTTAGGGTTTTCGAAGTGGTTTCACTGACCACTTTGAGAAACACTAAAAGGATATTAGTAGATATCTATCCATCAGTTCTCAAACATGCATTTACAGATGAATTTCTATTGTTCTCACATAGGTATGTGGAGAAGAAATCTGTGGCAGCAATGATCAATGCACAAATAGCAGACAAGTCCATGACAAGTTTTCCAAATGTCAACTTTGCTTTCGGAATGTATCTCACCATCTCAGGAATAAACTGGGAAGGGGAGTGCTCTTTTTCAAAGTTAAAAAGCAAAAGAGTTCGAGTATATCAGCCATTTTTAAAAGAGCATGTTTACACCTTAAATACACTTTCCTTCTCCCTCCCTCTCCCTTTGAGATTTTCTCATCTATTCTGGAAGAGTAGTTGCTAGAGCAATATGACGGGGTACTACCCTCTTCTAACACACACATCAGGAGATTAGTGCCAGAAAACAGACCAGACTCTTACAAGCATCTTTGCATCACACTTATTTCACCTTCCTCTCATCTCTTTACCATCCTTTCTGTTCCCTTTCCCTCTTCTGATTTTTATTGTGTTTCTTCTTTAGCATTTTGCAGCTATGTTGTTTGGGCTCTTAAACCTATGATTAATTACATCCCCAATTTGCCCCAAGTGCCAGTGTCTGCTGCTATTGACCATGAACATTGACTCTGACTCTTGTGGCCTGGGAATTAATTCTTCACTTGGACCAAGTGGCTTAGTTGGCATGCAGGTTCTAATATTTGTATCAGGAGATTTAATAGCTGAATTAGAGATTTGCCCAAGCTGTCAAGCCTGGATCTAGATCAACGCTTGCCCAGAATTCAAGGATTAAGATGGATGGATGGGAAGGTTTGGTTTGGCTAGTTACAGAGTTAGTGGAGAAGCCCCAAAGTCTGGATCTAAATCGGGGTGTAAAGCCAGGAATTAGAGTTAGCATGAATCCCAGCAATGACACTGTAACATTTTTTTACAATGGGGTGCTGAAAGTCAGTGGTCCTCACTCCCCCTTAGTCCTGCCATCTCATTCCTCCCAGAGTTGGGGCCAAGAGAAGGGCTGTGGCTCTGAGTAGGTGGATGGGAAATATGGACAGGGCTAAGGGGGTAAAGGCAGGGACCCCATGTGCAGGGTGGGAGCAAAGCTCCCAGAGCGGGGCCAGTGGTGGCTGGACCCTCCATGCAGACTCCAGGTGCAGGTCTGTGAAGAGAACCCTGGGCATGGGGCTGGCAGCTGCCAGGAGCTGAGGCCCAGATGTGGAGCTGGCAGCAGCTGGGACCCTTTGTGCAGAGCTCCAGGAATGGGTCAGAATGCCCAGGGCCGGGAGCAGAGTCCCAGGTGCAGGTCTTAAAGCTGAGAGTGCAATGGCAGGGTCAGGACCCTGGGCAAGGGGTGGCAGATGGGACCCACACAACAACTGTGAGCACTGCAGCACCCACTGTACTCCCACTAGTTTCCATGCCTGTGGATCCAGGATTAATTCCAACTCACCTGTAGGTCACACGTACCTAGTTTTTATAATCCACAGAGCATTTTAAACAAACTTGGCTGTCTTTAGGGGCATTATGCTTGAGTTATACTAGCATAACTACATCCAGACATAGGCCTAGAGACTTTTACTTCACCCTCTACCTAACAACTAAGAACCAGTTCAGGAGAACTTAAGAACCTATAGCAGAGGCAGCATCTGCAGTCAAAGAATGGATGTGTGCTTTTGAAATGTGGAAATACCAGCAGGGAATAATGCAGCAGGAGCAAAAATTCAGATATTTCTTAGCTAGCACAGCATCTTTGACATGCATTTCTAAGTAAGAAAGGCTTCACTACATTAGCAAACAAGGTGTCCTCCTGTTATTTAGTTTAGTAATATAGATTGACAGGAAACAAGTAATAGAGAACAGTGTTGTCACTGTGGTTAACATTACTTCCTTGATTAATTTTATGTAGGAAGAAATAAGCAAAGAAATCTATTTGACAGGTGTTTACTTCCCAAACAATTTTTTGTAGTTTTCCAGGTTGTAGTTGGAAAAATAGTGTGCAGACATTTGAGAAAGTCTTATTTATTTACAGCATTCAAAGTTAGTATAGGTAGAAAGTGTATACAAAAACTAAATTTAGATTTTGTAGTCTCCATATATAATGCTGTGCATCCAGGAACATGGCTGTATATGTAGTGATGGGATATGGAAGACTATTGACTTGCAAATATTGAATCCCAATAAACTTTGAGACTTACCCACAATCAACTTACAAAAAGTAACTGTACTTGTTGGGCTCATAAGTAATTAAAGTATCACACAGAAATAAATGCCCTGGAAACTCTGATAAGTTTTTGTTATTAAAACTGAAAGATCTGATGGGATACATTCATATACACCTTATGAAATCTTCTGTGTTTATTTCATTCAGAGTAGGAAAGAATTGAATTAAAATCATGATTGGCTTTTGATGCAACCAGATGAAACAGTTAAAATGGATGTTTCCTTGATCAGTTAAATAGACTCAATATCCATTTCTAAGCCCAGAATTAGAGAAGTCTCTGCAAACTCCAAGATAACAATAACACAAACATCTAAATGACAGAAACGTACAGCTCAGTTCCTTTTGGTTAGCTATTGACTCAGATTCCTGGATTTGTCAGCAACATGAAAGCATATTTGACTTGCAAACTGCTGTTTTCACAAATTACACAAATATAAAGGAAAAATATTGTGGGTGCAAATACTTGGATGAAAAATTACCACAATTTCTTGTATCTATACAAAATGAAGGCCACAGAAATATTGGATATGAACCCCAGGGCTGATCTGATTGTAAAGACACCAAACAACTTGCAGTATTTATAGTACTTATCTCACTTTTTTTAGGGGAGTAAGTCAGAGGGAAAGCAGCATCTGATAGGAGACACCAGAATGTATACGGTACATTTGTGCATGTGTGCATGCATTCCCATAGATATCCTGCAAAATACCTAATAGCCCATGGATGAATTTATCTTACCGAGATTGGTGCATTTTAATCCCTTCCCAGAAATACTCTCTGAAATACAATGTTTTTATGGGCTGATACGTCTTCAGCTACTCAGTATGATGTACTTGTGTCATTTCCTCTAGTATTTTCTTCTGGCTGGTATTTAGTGATGGGAAGCAATGTTGTACTGACAGTTCCTTTGAGTATAAAGGAAAGTGCCAAAATACACAGTCTTCTACATCTGGCACCTCTGCATTCACTGGAAGATAGTTATTTCTAAAGGCAACACCCTCTCTCCATTAAAAAACAGCACACTATAGCCTCATCATCATGCGGAAAAAACTTTCAAAATAAAATTCTTTTAGGAGGAGAAAGAGTTTAGAGTGATAGATATACCTAATTCTAGGTGCCTCTGGTATGTGCATGCTGAATTAGCACACACCAGTGCTTACTTTTTCAAATAAAAACTGCTACCCAGCCATTTGTATTCAGAACATAAATTGATGCTAACTGCATGACTGACATCTAGTGGATATTTGCCAGTGTTGCTGTTTACAATTATAGGCCCTCTTTCGCCCCCCTGTCCTGGAGCACACACAAAATCATAGGAGGATACCAAGGCTACGTCTACACTGGCCCCTTTTCCGGAAGGAGCATGTTAATTCCAGCGATCGTAATAGGGAAATCCGCGGGGGATTTAAATATCCCCCGCGGCATTTAAATAAAAATGTCCGCCGCTTTTTTCCGGCTTTTAGAAAAGCCGGAAAAGAGCGTCTACACTGGCCCCGATCCTCCGGAAAAGCACCTCGGGTGAGTACTTCAAAGTAGGAATAAGATCCTCCGGAAAAGGGCGCTTTTTCCGGAGGATCGGGGCCATTGTAGATGCTCTTTTCCGGCTTTTCTAAAAGCCGGAAAAAAGCGGCGGACATTTTTATTTAAATGCCGCGGGGGATATTTAAATCCCCCGTGGATTTCCCTATTACGATCGCTGGAATTAACATGCCCCTTCCAGAAAAGGGGCCAGTGTAGACGTAGCCCAAGAGTATGAGCTGGATAGTCTGATCAAATTGGAAAGATTACTTCTTTAATACAAATAATAAAAGGACATTAAGGAGTGGACTGTGCCTGGTTGGGAAACAGCATTCCACCCCCTGCACCCAGACCATTGGATCTTTTCAGGGGCAGAGCTGATATTAAAGATGGTGAACACAGAAGTATGGAAAACTGCTATCGTAGTCACTGAAGTGCTGCTTTAGGTGATTCCTGGTTGTGTTTCATTCTCAGCAGCTATCAATGGAATTGTTATGGCATGTGATCTTGTTAGGAACAGGAGTCCCTTCAGTAGCATTGTACTTGGCCCCTCTACAATGGCCCGCAGAGCAGGTTTGAATGCTGACTTTACTCTGCATGGTAGAGGGCGGCTTCCAAAGGCATGGTACTCACCCGAGGCAGAAAGTTCTGATGCATACTGTGGGGTGATACAGCTCTTCAGTGCCCACAATGAAGAGCTGTGGCTTTCATGTCACACATTAGCCCAAATCTGACATCTTGCAGTATTTAGTTCCAGGAATGGAAAAGTACATTGTGCAAAGTGATTGCATTCTCATCATATACCATAAGACAATTTAAAGTGAGAACATAATACTTACATTTAATAGCAGATGTAAAGTCAGCTAACATTTTTGTTTTGTTTATGCAGTGCTCAGAAAGAACTACTTTAGAATAAGTCATGCATAACAGGACTTTAGAATTAAATTTTCCTATTGAAAAGTGTACTATACTAGTTGACTGGTCTTTTTTCCATTATGCCACTGAAGTACAAGACACTTCACAAGGGCCTGATGTGAAACTCCCATTGGCTTCCGTCCTATTGGCTCAGTCTGCCAAACATATACACTTCTAACTAACTTATTCCCACACTTAACATAGGATGATCAGGCCCCAACTTTAATAAGACATGTTTAAGAGTACTTTTACCTGCCTTTGAATTTCAACAAAATATTCCATATCCCTACTTATAATATTTAAAGGTCATGTTATTTACCAACACAAGAGAGCACTGAAATGCTAAGTACTCTATTTTACTTTAGCATGCCTTTGTGTCTATTTGATATATATTGTGAAGTCCTGAAAGTGAGGATGAAAACATGCATTTATGAAGATGGGTTCTTGTAACTTCACAAAAGTCAGTCTTTTCAAATTAAGAAATAATACTAAGTAGGGTGAAACAAAAAGTATTGTAGCAACAATCTACTTCTCAACAGATAGCAATAAAAAGTGTTCTGACATGCAGTCTTGTAGAAACTTCACAAGTTTCCTAATATAAGTTTTCAGCCAAAGGAATGACATTTCCCCCACATGAAAATTTCAAGAAGAGATATAAGTACATCAGGGATATAAGGGCATTCTGTCAATGATAGCAATCTGCAGAATAGCTCTGTAAATTGCATGTACAGAACATTCATAATAAAAACCTTTATCACTGGGGACTGAAGGTTTAACCTGTATTCACAAGAATGGTCAGATGAAAGAGTACTTAAAAGGGACAGTTAGGTTCTAACATTCTTGCTTGGCTAGTTAGGGCTGTTCTGTGGTTCCCTCTACTTTTTCTCCAGCCTTGGTTCTATGAGGGCTGATCTGGAGGTCTGGCCAGATTCAGAGTTAGCAGGATCAGCAGTGTCTGGCGTTCATGTGGGTGAGCCATTACATTTGCACAGAGTCCTACTGAAATGAACAGGGTTTTGCACATTTGGCTGCTGGATCAATCCCCCAAGATCCCAACTCAACAAAGCACCTAAGTGCTTGCTTAACTTTAAGGAAGCGTTGAAGTCCATCCATAGTCAGCATGGAAGCTTAAAGCTAAGTGCATGTTTAAGTTCCATTGATCTTAATCCCTCTGCTGGATCGGGGCTGCCATCATTCTGTGCTACTCCTGCCAATGGTTTTAACAGTCATTTCATTTCAGAATGGAATAAATCTGTAAGTGGTTTAAAGGTTCAGAGTTTGGGTTTGGTTTTGGAAAACATCCCAGTGTGGGTTACTTAAGGTTGGAAGTGATTGGTGGACTAGACTCTCTAGATATTTCTGTTATTTCATCTCTTGGCTGGAGATAGGGAAGCTCACAAAAACGAACAATGCTGAAAAATAATTCCAAATGCCTATATACCTGAGGGGCAGCAGTTCTCAGGTTCAGTTCAAGTTTGGCACGTTCTCAGGTCAGTTCTCATTGTAGCCAAACTAGTTCGCCCATCCCTGGGTAGGTTTGAAATGTTCATTGTACTTTTCTTTGGAATACATAAACGGCATTAATAGCCTTCTCTGAACTCAGGTATCTGACGTATTCCCATTTATTAGGAGTGTGCAGCAATATAAGTAACTTCTTGGTTCATGGCTCATTAATTATATTCAGATTTCCACAGCAGCGTCCTTGCAAATTAATCCATGGCATCATTTTCTGCACTTGTCAGTGATGGTAGGAAACTGGAAGAGAAAGTGAGGATATAATGATGCCAACGGCTTTCTTCTGTGGTCCCTACTGTTATGGCTTGGAGGTGGAAAGAAATGCACTAGAAAGGGTGATAAGCAGCCATCAGTTTTTGATCAGAACCAAATTCTGTAGGAAAGTAAAATTCCATGATTGTTTTCACAGTCAAACTGCAACTGCTATAGCAGGGGTAGGGAACCTTTTTTTGGATTGGGGGTCGCTGACCCACACAAGTGAGAAGCAAAAGAAAGAAAACCAACCCCCCTGAGAATAATAAAGACACTTCCCACATTCCCTTCATATGCCAGAGCCGGGGGAAGAGGGGGAGTGGGAGTGGGCAGGATAGTATATTTTCTGTACTCCAGCCCCACAGGAGGATGGTAGGGGAGGGGCAGAGGGACTGAAGCACTAACACTAGCTCTCCAATGCTATGGGGGAGCTCCGAGGCCGTTGCCTTGGAGCCTCTTGTTGGAATATGGACTGGTCCCTCTTGTTCTGTGTCTGTGGCCTCAATAGTTTACTCTCCCAGGGGTTGTAATACATTGTTCTAATTATGAGTGTAGGGTTTGGTGTGGAGGTGGCAAGGTGCTAGTTAGTGGCCTGTGATATTCAGGAGGTCAGACTAGATGATCTGGTGGTTCCTTCTGCCCTTACACACTATGGGTATTGTCTACACTGCAAGCTTATTTCAGAAAAAGCAATTCTGGACGATATCTTCTGGAATAGATTATTTTGAAATAGAGCATCCACGCTACAAAGAAGCCTCAAAATTAGTCCAAAGCAGGCTCTCCTAATGTGGACACACTATCTTGATTTAGAGCCCCAGGAGACACTGGGGAGGAATAACGTTAGAATGGCCCTGGTGAGGAGCTATTTCAACATAGCAGCAGTGGATGAGGCATTATTCCAATGTCAGAAAAAACCCTCTGTGGACGCTAATATTGTTTTTCCGGAATAACGGCTGATATTCTGGGAAAACGATGCAGTGTACACGTTCCCTATGATTCTATATGCACTATGCAGTCTAGGGCACTGGGGAAATCGTTGCAGGTAAGACCCATTTTATTACGTTAACAGC